GGAGCGTTTAACGTCGGGGGGGGGGGGCTGCAGTCGCTGCCTGCGTGCTTCCCTGCTCTTGGAAACGCAGCCTCTGACTCGCTCGGTCGGTGCCTGCCGGATGCCACCGACCTTTTATTTTCTGCCCAGGAACTTTCCAGGCAGCGCCGTGGGGTTTTTCAGCAGGGCTGTTGCTGTGCGCAGTACACACAGCTCGCAGAAACAGGTTGCATAAACTCGTTATTTTCCAAGCTGGCTTTGGCAGCGGTAGAAGAGATGAAGTATTTTATTTGGAAAATCTTAATTCATGTGTGTTGCGAATGCAGAAGTGGGAAGCACGCAGTTATCTACCACAGTGCGTTTAATAACTTAGCACAAGGGCCCTTCCCGCCTGCCAGGCAAACGCGTGCTTAGATAATGATAGAAAAATATGGACCTGTCTGGTTTGCACTGTCCGGGCTGAAAATCACATGAAAATAAACAAACCTCGCTGTCTGGAGGAGGGGAAGAGGGAGTTTAAAATCCTTTCAGGTTTAGTGTCATCAGCTCCTCCTGGTACCACAGGTAAGAGAATCTACTTCGTATCATCGAATGTGGCTTTTAACCCGCTGGTCTTTCAAGCAGCAGCAGGTTGGGGGGTGAGGGGAGCTGTGCAAAGGTCCTGCAGAAGGGTGCAGAGGGGGAAAGGGTGCGTCTGTCTGGCTCAAAGTGCTCACGCGTCATCATCGTGCAGAATGGTCAGGCACCAAGCCTCTAAAGAGCAGGTTCTTCACATGGAGCCAGTCGTCCTGATGCCACCTAAAAGCCGTGCAGAAAGGGCAATTCTGGCGCAGCTAAAGCAGATGGAGCTTTATGGGGCCGACTCGAGAGGCGGGATGACCCGACCAGCTTAAAGCACTGTGAACAATTCAGAATTTTTGCTGCGTTCATAATTTTCTGCAAATTTCAGACTTCAAAAAGCCGATCCCGCGCGTCGCCGCCTCGGTGCCGCGGCAGAGCCGGGCTCTGCCGGGGTGACACGGTGATAACCCAGCCCTGTGCAAAGCCGTCGGCCGCGCCGGGAACTGACCCTCTTCCCCAACCTACTGACCCCAATGAAACATGTGTGAACTTCAAAGGCTCATCAGGACCATTTAATGCTGACGTTATTAATCACAGGCGATCTCGCCCCTTCACTCTGCTTTAAGAGGGAAAGCACCACGGAAACGAAATGGAAACAACTGTGTTAAGGGCTGCACAGTAAAAATTACAGACAGCCCGCAAACGCCGACGCTTTGGTATCAGCAGCTGTCCCGACCTGCTGGCTTTGCACGTGGCATTTTTTCACTCCTCTGCTTCTCTCTTGGTTAACTGTGCAGCTTAATATACGACTGTTTACGTTGTAAAATGTAAACCATAAAACATACAGGATGTTCGATGTGGCCGTAAAACAAACAGGATGTGCAGTGTTGGTTTTGCAACGTTAAACGCTTGCTTTTCATGACTTTGTCATTTTTTAACTGCGATTTTAACGCTGCATTTCAACAGGGAAGGTTCCCCCCCCCCGTTTTTAACAACCAGCCTGTGTGCCCTCCCGCCAGGCTTCCGTCGCGACACGGAGAGGACCCCAGGTTGCATTTTGGGGTGATACCTGCAGCGTGAAGCAGTGCCCGCGCTCCAGACGAGCCCGGCTCGGTGCCCTGGTGCCAGGCGAGCTGTCCTGCCCCGCACACGGCCCAGCACGCCGCAGGAGGGTTGGACTAGATGACCCACAGAGGTCCCTGCCAACCCCTACCATTCTGTGATTCTGTGATCCCACGCCGCAGGGAGAACGCCTGGAATAAAGTGTTAGAAGTGCCCAGGCACTGACAACATGCCTGGCTAAATGGGGTTTAACCCCTTCTCAGACAGCTCCTCGTTAGGCTTCTAAATTAATCATCTGATTTAGAGAAGTGGTGCTCTGCTTTTTGCTGTGCACACGGAGCAGAGCCAGACTCGGTGAGTTTTCCTCACAGCTCACCCCACAAACTGTCCCGCTGCTGTCGGACGG